AATTATTATTTGTTGTTGGAGGACGTTGTTCTTTAATTGTTAAATAACATTGACGACAAACACGTACATTTTTATATATTTTCATACGAGGTATATCGGTTTCAAACCGACTACATCTACAAAAAAAAAGAAAGAAAAACAATAAAAAAATCAATTAAGAAATTTAATATTACCTAGCACAAAATAATTGTCCACAATTTCTAGAAAAGACAAAGATAGATTAGATAATTTTATTATTCAAAATATTTTTCAAAAATAACATTAGTTTTTTAAGAGAGAAAGAGAATATAAATCTGTCTATATAGAAAATACTATCTGCTTACCTGCAATGATGTCTTCTTTCTGCAAATGAAAATCTAATTGAACAATCTTTACATGCTCCCACTGTTTCATCTTTAATCCAATGATCAGCATTTGAGCGACCTGGATTATCGCTAACAATCCAACTAAATATTCTTCCACGTGCATCACCCACAAACAAACTTTTATGATCTCTATACAAAAGATTTAAAAAAAATTTTGATTTAATTTTTTCTTTCAAAATAAATATGAACTAACTTTGATATTCCAATTGCTGTAATAGCAGCTGGACTTGGATTTTCTTTTCGTTCATAAGCTGTATGCATTGTTAATTTACCACGATAATTTAATCGGCGATCCCATTTAAAACCTTCTTTTAAATCAAGATAAGTAGATTTTATTTGATTTTCATTCGTTGTATTATTGTTAGTATTTTTTGCTTCAAGAATTTCAACATCAGTAACAACAATAAATTTATCACTACCATTTGGACTATTTAATGGCGGTGCAGATGTTACACTAAGTGTATCTTTATTTATATGTGATTCTCCATCATCATCAAATGATTGATCTGTTTGTGGTGAAAAATGTTTTTGCGTAGGAGTTACCGGAGTTTTTCCTTCACCATCATCAGATTCTGCATCACTATCATTTGATAAATGACTTGGATTTGATTGAAGTCTCATTGGTGATGGTTGAGATATTGATGGACCACGACTTCGATCTTCTCCTAATGTTAAAGTTGAAGGTGATGCTGAAGGTGCATCAACTACTTGATCATAACCAATAGTCCACATCTAGGAAGAAAGTTCATTTAAAAAATTTTAACTTATATTCTTAAGAAATCATACTCGAACAACACCATCAGAACTACCAGTTATAATCACATTTTCATCATCCCATTCATTCATCTAAATCAATCGTACAAAAATCAAAATAAAATATTCTTTTCATTCAATTTTACTTGTGACATAGCAACACAAAGAATTGATTGTTGTCGACTATATGCCATCGTATTAATTGATGCAACTAATTGTCCATTAATAGTCCAAACATATAAATGACTTCCTGCAGCACTTGCAATATCACCCTAGAAAATATATATATTTTGTATATTATTTCTATTAAAATATTAATTTACTGTTAATTCGTTAACACATATACAGGATATTGATGCTGCATGATTTGGTAATTGTCGAATAAAATGTAAACGATTTAAATCCCAAACAATACATGTTTGATCATCAGAACCGGATATTAAAATTCGATATGCTTGTGATGCTGTTAAATATGTTATGGTATCATTATGACCAGCTAAACGTGTTTTTAAATGTAAACGTTTATGACGACCTTTACCAATTTCCCATACATTAATTAATGTATTTGTACCAGCTGTTATAACATATTGTGGTGTTGGACATAGAACATTTGTAATTTTTCCTTCTTGGACTAATTCATATATCATTGAACTCTTGAAAAAAGAAAAAATTTATTTTAAATTAAAAAATCTTGAAATTTTGTTTTTGTTTTACTTTATCTGAATCAACAGACATTATACGTAAACTCTCATCGGGAAATCCATACTGCAAATAAAAAAATTAATAAAAGAATTATTTTAAAAATCACTTACTTGTATACAACGAGAATAATTTGGTGGTATAATTGCTTTACCTTGTTCAAGAGCGATTAATCCTTTATCTGTTGGAAGAATTAAGCCAACTGCCGATTTTAATTCTTAAAAAGATGAATATTATATAAAGAAATGTTATTAGAAATTATTCATAATTACCTTTAATTGGTATTTTTGATGGTCGTAAACTATTTACATAATTAAAAAATAAATTTCTATCAATACCAACTGAATCCATAAGAGATCGGCTTAATTTTTTTTGCGGATGTGGACGTTTAAAAAGCTAAATAAATAAAATCAATTTTTATATATTTGTATATTTCTTCAATATACCTGTTTAGGAATTTGTCCAAAATTATTTATAAAACCAATAATCTTAAAAAATAAATTAAACAAAAATCTATATGTTATTAAGAAAAAAAACAGCAACATACAGCTGTTCGTTCCATAGGATCACTTATATCATCAACATTAACAGCACCTTCATAAAATAAATGATGAAATACATTTGTTGCTTCGATAGCTGATGGTCCTTCTTGTTTATATCCAAATATAAGATCAATCCATTCATTTAAATGTGCTGAAACATAATCACTTTCCAATGCCTAATAAAATATCTTGTTGCTTTTCTTCTCAATATTACAACAATTCTTACCATTCGATGAATACGTATGAATTCTCTTGGATCATTTTTCGACCATGTTGGTAATATAACATCATTTAAACCTAAACCATTTTGTTTTTTACCGAGATCAAATTTATTTGTATTTAATAAAAAATCAGGTAAATAAAAAAATTCTGGAATAAGCTCTTTAACATCAGCCATATTATTTTTACTAGCTGATAACCATGAATCTTTAATACTATGAAACATTCGATCAGCAAGATCAAAATGTCCACCCTAAATGACGAAATATATATATTAATGAAATAATCAAATTAAATTTGTTCTATTTACTTGTAAACGAAGAAAAACTTGAGTAAATGGTTCAGTACGAACAAGATATGATGCAACAATCATTGCAGAAGAATAATGTGTACCATAATGATAAGCTGGTGTTGAACCTGTTGGATCATCCCATTCAGCAAAACGTTTTTGAAATTGTACAAGACGATTATCAGTTTGAGCACCCATTGGTTTCGATAAATCACGAAATGTATTTGGATTAATTAAATTTAATTCCTTTGAATAATCAAATATTTTATTATTTATATATTTAATATAAAAAAGAAATAAAAGTCTATCTTTCGATACAATTTCAAATTAAAAAAACCTAACAACATTTATGCCACGTCTTTCATCATGTTGAACTCCCATCACCTTAATCTAGAGAAGCGTGTAGTTCTATTTCGGTAAAGATAAAACACAAGAATATCTACATTAATCAAGAGAAGCGAAAACACGATACTCGCTCTTCTACTTTTGACATTAACCCGAAGCTCTATTCATACTATATATATATACAAACTCACATCTATCTTCAATAACTAAACTAACTATACATGAAAGATTCAATTATTGACAGAGCATCATTATCATGAAACTTACTTTACTATCATAATCATTAAGAATCCATGGAAATACTAAAAAAAACAAAAGATAAATCGTAATCTTTCTTTTATTTTTATAAAATACCTGGATATTGCATTAAATCATTATAAGATCTTCCAGCAAGTGTATTTAAATGCATTAAATATTGAAAATTACTAATTTCTCCTTTTTCCCATCGTTGTGTAACTGAACGTTCACCCATGAGTGATCCAATAAAACTAGTTCTAATAAAAAAAAACGAAAATTTAAAATAATTCGATCGTATAAAAATTTTCAAGTATCGTGCAAGAGAAAAAATGTATTATTAAATGTCGATGATCAGTCAAAGAGAACCGATTTCCGAAGTGATTGATTATTTTTATTATCATGCATTGTAAAGAAATATATTCTTACATTTGCTTTCGATTTCGAAGATGACTATTGTTAGAAAATAAAATCAATTAATTAACTTCGTTCTCATTTATTTCGGAAAGCGAAATTAAAAAGAAAATATTTATACCCTTGTTCTATATTGATACTTCGTCGTTGACCAGATACTGAATGTATTGCTGAATCTGTTAATTCTGTTGCTGAACCAAGTAAACGTTGATAAATTTTATTACGTTCTTTACGAACAAAAACAAGTAAATAATTTCGACCATCAGCAGCAAATAATTCAAGTGCAATAGGCTAAAATAAAATCATATATGAAAGATTTTTGATTTCGGAAACTATTTACTTGTAAAATATGTCGTCGTTTATGAACTTCTTTTATATCTTCATAAGCAAATTTTGAACATTCTTTTCTATATTGTATTAAATCCATATTTGTTATTGTTGATGATTTAGGTATTAATGGTATATATTCATTTCGACATTTATCCAAATCAACAATTTCATTTTTTTCTGTATTATACGTATAACCTTCGAGAATATAGAAATGTTCTCGACCAAAGATAAATATTCCTTCACTACCATCAAGACCTTCAATACGTGCACAACGAAATGCTAATGATATCTAAACAAAAAAATACCAATAAATAAGAAGAAAGAGAGAGAAATAATTAACAAACTTTTTCATCATCTTCAAGTAATCGTAAAACATTTTGATTCGTTTGACTCACTTCAACCGTTTCACTAGCTGTGATTGGTGCATCTAAATAATAAATAAAATTAAATATTCTATCTAGATAAGTATATATATATGTCTTACGTGGAGTGTCACCTTCAATTTCAGCTTCATCTTGTTGTAGTTTACTAACCATTGGATCTTCTTCATCATCATCAATACCAGTTGTTTCTTCATTTGATGATAAATCTGTTAATGTTTTTTTTCGTACTGATAATAATGTTGGTGCAAGTAATCCTCTTTCTATAAAAATCCTATTAAATTCATTGACAAAATAAAATTCTTTAAAATTACCTGCATCATTTGTCCATGTTTCACCTTCTTCTTGTACAGTTTGTTCTGTTAATGACAGAGTTGGTTCATTAATATCTTTTGATATGACTGTTATTGGAGGTGGAGATTTCGGTTCAGTTGCTTCTTTTAATATTGGTATTGGAGATGTTAAAGTATTTTCGAATGGTGATGGATATGTAATAAGTAAACGATCAACAATATGAGATTGTCGATCAGAATATTGTTTAGAATCTAATGATACAGGTGGATTAAATTTTTTTCTCTATTTGAAAGATAAAAACAAAAAGATAAACATTGAAGAATCAACAAAAAAAATTATTTACTGTTTGTTCAACTGCAATACGATGTGGATAATGCGTATAAAAATCTTCATTAAGTACCATTCGTTTACGCATACGACATGGTCCTTCGATAAAATCAAGTTTATATTTAGCCAATGGATCAGGTTCATCAAAACCCCATAAGCCTCGTTCACGTAAGAGGTCATGTTCAATAGAAAACCATTCTTCGCATAAATAATTAAATTTTTGTTCAGAATTCTTTTAAAATAAAAAATATATAAATCTATTATTATCAAAAATTCTATGTATACTAGTGTTAATCGACGATATTCATTATCAACATTTTCTTTCACACTCGAAACATTCACAGACATTAATGCCAAAGTACTCTATTTAAAACAAAAAAAATATATATTTGATTCTTAAAAGAAAATCATTTGTCTTACATGAATTGCTTGTCGATCTAATTTAACTTGTTCACGTTTGACTTTTGTACCTCGAAGTTGATGAAGACTTGATCGAAAACCCCCTGTTACACCGCCGGTTAACCGTTGAATTCGCTAAAAACAAAATAAGTTATATTGTCTTAGAGCGTCATCAAATCGATTTTCTCTACATACCGAACCAACATGCATAATTTGTTGTTGAATTTTATCTGTTATTCTTAATTCTCCTTCAATAAATCTTGTCCAAACTTTCGATGCTGGTTCAAATAAAGATTCACTTAAAAAAATTTGTTAAAATATGTTTTCTTAATAAACATTATCCTATTTTCTTTACCTAACATCAACTAATGTTGTTTTATTTTGTGTAACTAATTGTGAAAAACTCATTTTAAGTATTTCTTCTAATGCCTATGAAAGAAACATAGTTTATAGAAGGAAAGAACAAGAGGAGATTTCTATTTTATCATACAGGTTTCTTTTTCATATATAATTCCGACCAAATACGTTGAGCAGCATTAATAATTAAACTTTTATTTGGTTGCATAGTTGATACTGGACTATCAAGACGATGATACCATGTTGATCGTGATTCATCACTAAATTACAAATAAAATTTTTATCGAATTATTTATCTATATGTATTACTTTGATTGTTTAGATCCTGTTTCATCAATTAAAATAATTAGACAATAACAAAGACAACCAAAAAATTCTGCATCTTGATTTGAATCTGTAAAAATTAATTGTCGATTATTAGCTAAACGATGAAGTGCATCAAGTGTAATCATTTGATCTAAAAAAATGTTTTTTTTTGATTTTTTAATTTCAAAATCTTTTATTTATGTTTACCTCCAATAGAATCAATTTTTCTTGATAATTCAAATAATACTGTTCGATTTAATGAACGAAAAAGTGAATCCATATATGTATTTGATCCACGTTTTTTTGCTTGATTTATTATTTTTATAATAAATTCAAAGATTTGCTTTGGTTCACGATATTCAATTTCCCAAATTTTATCAACCATACGTTCAATAAAATGTGTAACATTTTCAAGTAAAATTTTATATGATGACATATTAAAATTTGCTGACGATGCAATATTTGATGCTAGATTAGTAAATGTACGTGCATAATTTGTTTTTCCAGATTGATCACCAAGACCAAAACTAAATCCAGTAGTTTGATCTTCACTTGAACTTACTGAACATAAATCCGATGCTTCTAAATTTTCGATTATAGATTTAAATATACATTGAACAAATATTTGATAAGTTAAATCCGAATTCATATTTTCTGGAAGAGCCTAAACAAAAAAAACAGATTTGAAAGATAAATATTTTAATAGGAAAATTAAGCGTGCGATAAAATCTCTTTATTTGAAAAACTCTATGAATATTTGGGTTCGAGCGGAGCCATAGAAATTTCTAATCTACAGTGAATACGACTAGTCTTGAAAAAAAAGACTTCACAGATGATTTGATACAGTACAGATAATTACCCATTGTTAGTATAACGAATAATGCTCGTATCCATTATCTTTAACAAACAATATTTTATGAAATTCCTACTTTGATTATAAATCTGAGTAGTATTATCAAGAGACTAGACATTCATTTTGAAAACTAACAGTCAACATCGATTTTAACTTACAGAAAGAAAATAATCAATAACATTTGGTATACGCGTTGTATTCGAATAGAGACTATCAATAATTATATCTCGAACAATATCAACAATTGCTCCACGTAATGTTGTATTTGATGAAAATGAAGCTAAATATGAAATAAGATTTAATTATTTCTAATAAATAAATGAAGAGTTCATTACCTATAAGAGAATCGAGTTGACCAGTCGGTGATGAAGCTTCTTCATTCGAAATATTTTTCTGTAAAAAATCAAAATTAGTCTTTGTAACAAAAGATTGTTTTTGCTTTACCTGACGAACAATTGTCTGGGGTAAATCAAAAGATGCTTGATTTTGCTACAAATAAATAAAATAAATAATAATTCAATTAATATAATAAATGAATTTACAATTAATGGTGGAAAAATAATTCCACATAAAAATGAAAGATATTCAACAGTTTGAATATAAGTAAAAAATTCCGTTTTTCGACGATATAATTGATGAAAAAATTTTAATGTAGCTAAACCATTTTGTTCAGCTTGTTCATTATCCTAAATAGAGTAAATAGAATAAATTTCATTGATATTTTAATTCTACTTGAATAGTTAAATTTCGTATCATTGAAAGAAGTATTGGACAAGCATCTAATTCATATTGTTGTTGTTGAGTTGTTGATTGTTGTTTTGATCCAGATGAAGGTGTATTGGAAAGAGGAGGAGCAAGTGGAGTATGAAGATTTACAGTTTTTAATAATTTTTCAACTGTAAGCTATAGGAAAAGAAAGAAATCAAAAGACTTAGAAGACATTATTATAAAAATATCGTTCATAACTTCTTCAATATCAGTTCCACCTTCAAAAATCTACATTCAACTAACTGATATATAAGTGACTATCGATGAATTTATTTTCGTATGAGAGTAATAATATTTTACTAACCCCTGTTTGGTCCATGGTATCATCCGACGGTATTTGTCGAAAAAGAAATGCTGCTAATTGATAATAAATCGGTATAATTTCTGCTCTTTGAGCAAATATATATTGTAAAAGAACAAAACCGGGTAATGGTATTGATACATTTGTATTATTTCCAAGTGTTAATGGTGGATCAATATTTAATGCAAACGTAGGTTTTGTTGTTGCTCGATCATTAAATACATTAATCCAATTTTCATTAATTGATGTTAAAGGTGATAATGGTGTAATATTTCCTGTATTTGATGACGGTGATGGAATTGTTGCTGCACTTGTTGTCATTGCTGTTGTTGTTGATGATGATGACTGTGATGATGATAAATTATTTGATGCTGATGGATTTATAAGTAACATTGCATTATCACGAAAACGTGTTAATGCATTTGATGATGATAAAAGAAAAGCAATGAGTAATTTTGTTGTTAATACAATTGTTCGAGGATGTAGATGAGATTGTAAAAAAAGAAGAAGCCAATCATAACCAAGATGAAGTAGAAATTCATCAGTTAAGCTAGAATATGAATTAATTAATTTTTCCTGTTTTTTTTTCATTTTTAAATTTTATACTTTGTTTGTGAACGTTTTTCTTCTGCGATTGTTCGTGCTAACATTTCCAAAAGAAAATTTCGTAAACTAATATTTTGTACTCCAATTGATGAATCATCAAGAGCTATAATATCATAGAAAATACAAAATCATATATTTTTCGAGAAATCTTACTTCCATGAATAGTAACATTTTTTTCAGATATTGAACTTGATGGAAGAAGATAAACAAGAAATTGGCCAAGCCTTAAAAAGAAATTTTTTTGAATTTAAAACGAAAATCTCAATAAATTTCTATTTACTTCAATATATCATTTGTATTTTTATATGTAACAAGTAATACACGAATAAGACTAACAACTATTAAACGTGTAGATTCATTTATTGAACCATCTTTAAGTAAATGTAATAAACGTGACATTAAATTTATTTTTTGTGATAATCGTTGATTTAACATTAAATTTTGTGTATCACTAAGAGAAAATATAACAAAAAGAATTGTTGTTTATTTTTATTATTTATTGAATCTGCTAACCTTGTTAAATATACATCAAGCAAATGTTCAAATAAAGATTTTTGTATATCAACACTAGCACCTTTCCATATCTAGAATAAAATATTTATAAGAACGTTGTTTTTTTTTAATAAAATAATCTATTTTACTTCAAATTCACATAATAGATGTTCAAAAGCAGCTGGATTTGTAATAGCTGTTGATTCACGTATTGTATCAATTGTTCCAACAAGTGTACATGTTAAATGTAATATATGACTATTGATAAGATGACGTTTTTTCAAAAATAAAAATCCAAGAAACTAAAGCAAAATATTTTTTTTATTAATAAGTAAAAATCGTATTTTGTTTTCTCTACTTGATATGCTCTTGTTCTTAATAATTCATTTTGCATTTGTTTATTAGATTTTAGTACACAAACAAACGCTTTAACTGATGCATAAAATGATTCAATATCATTTGACATTGCAATTAAACCAAGCATTACATATGGACCACCAATATATTCAATAGTTTTAGATACAGGATTTGGAACAAATATACGAACACCTAGATAGGAAAATAAAGTACATGTAGTAAAAGATCTCATCATCATTCACACTTCACAAAATGATGTATGTATAATTAAACAGAATTTAAAGAGTCTTCTAAATTATAATATTTACCTAAATAGCCAATTACTACACCACCAACTGTTCGAGCAGGACCACTATATGGTGCGGCAATATTGTATAAGATTCGAATAGGTACTGTTGATTCATTTGTTGGCATATTGAGCTAAATATATATATTCAAGTTAGTTTTAGAAATTTAACATGAATAAGAAATAATATTAACTGGAATTTCTTTCTTACCTGTTTCGCAATTAATTTCGCATCATTTTTATTATAGAGCTTCTTAAAATGTGATAAAGTTGTTTCAAAAAAACTAGCTGGATGTAAACCAAATATAATTCTCTCTTCAGGAAATAATGGTGAAAATATATCATTTATTGGATCTAACAAAAAACATAAACAAAACATTATTTTTTTAGTCATAATTAATAAAACATACCGATACAAACAGCTTGAAATGAACCAATATAATTTGGACCAGCTCCAAACATAGCTGCTATAAGTTGTGATGAAAGAATATCTTCAATAAGAAAACATGGTCCTTGACGCCATTGAACATTGGAATGTACGCGTTGTACTGGTAATGTACCAATATAAGCAAATGTTGAAACACTATTTCCTGGTGGTACAGTCATATTATTTATATAATGAAGCTAAAGATGATAAAAAGCAATTTTATGAAGATTTCCTTTTTTCGTCCGAAATGAAATATTTACTTTTTGAACCGCTATTTGTTTTCCATTGATATATAATGTAACTGCACTATTTTTAAGCATACCTTTTGCCCAAACAAGTGCAATATGTGTCCATTTTTGTTCAATCATCATTTCTGAACATATAAATTTGACTAAACCATCAGATTTAATATCATCGACATATATTGAATCGTTATGACAATCTATAAGATGTTATATAATAAAGTTAATCAATACAATGTTTAGGAAAAACTTTTTTTTATATACATTTCATGTGTATTCTATTTAATTATCAGTTTGATGTAATATTAATTAGTACATATTTATTATTGATTCAAATTACTACGAATACATTCTCTCTCTCGTATTTAGTATATGATTCATCAATCAAATCGATATAAAGTTACACATTCCTTTGTAATATGAGAACTTAACAAAACAAGGAAATTTAATAGATTAATTACCTTGAAATGGATGTTCTTGTGTTGATACTAATAAAGATTTATCTCTTGGATAAATATAAACTTGTAAAACAAATTTATAATCTTCTCGATTAAATGTATTTCGAATAATAGATAAAAGACGTATAGGATGTACATTATCTTTAACCGGACCAAATTTTTCTACATTAAACCATGTTGAATAAGTCATTCCATATTGTGGTGGAAATGGTCGTTCACCACCATTTGTTAATGTCATTCCACCTTGTAAATTAACATCATTTGCCATTGTAACCATACCAAAATTTCCAACAACATTAGTTGATGATGTTGCTGATTGTGGACTTAAACATGGTAATAATAAAGCACCAAAACCTTCAATACCCATATTAAATTCGACAAATGATGGAGATACTACTGACGAAATACCAGATGATGTTCCTAATGGAGAATTTGGTACTGTTAAAACTTGAGTTTCGCGACGAATATCACGTAAGGTTGTCATTGAAACAAGACATTTTATTCTATTTAATGGTACAAATGATTTATTGATTAAACTAACATCTTTTGATGAATTCACTAATAATGTTGGACTTATTATTGTTTCAATACCCATTCGAAGAAATTGTCTTTATTGAAAAAAAAAATAAATAGATAAAATTTTCGATTTTAGTTTATATAATTTTTTTACCTTAATGTTCGTACTGGTAAAATAAATGCAGCTAATCTTTCAAAAATATATTCAACAGACGTATGTAAATGATGATTTTCATTTTCAAGTGCAACTTCATATATATATAAAATATGTTGAGAAAATCCATAGGTAGCCATTATTTGTAAATTACGATCAGTTTTAAGTAAATTTTTTAATGTCAACATAAGAAAATATTGTAAACGATTGGAATACTAAAATAAATAATGAAATTAGAAATAGAAAAGATAAATATTTGCTTTTACTTGTTCATCAACCAATCGTGGTATACAAGATATAATTTGTAGAAAACAAACAATAGCACCTGGATAAACAATTATTGGTTCTTCCATATAAGATGGAAATGTAAATGTTGCTGATGCTCGTGTTGTTGCTGGCATATTAAATGTACTCTGACGAAAGAGTGCACTATTTGCAGAATCTTCATTATTATCAATTAATGTTTCTGATTTCATAGGTTCATTTTTTGATACTAATGATCTTAAGAAAGAACAAAAGAAACATAACATTATAGTCAATAACATATCAAAACTTCATTTCGTTTTTTTAAACAACTCCCCAAGGTTAATACATGCAATTAATTTCATTCTCTGATTTTTTTTTCATTCACCATCATGCCTCTTACTGAGATATTTTATCGATGGTATAATCGTCAGCAAACTTCGAACAGCTGAATAATTAGTTATATAAAATATTAATAAAATCATTTACTTTTTTTTTATTACTTACTTATCAATACAATCAAGAGCAATATCATGAAAACATCGTGCTATATGACAAGCATTAATAAGCTCAAGTGGTAATTCTGGTGAAGAAATAATACGTTCATCGAGTGAATAAAATAATTGTTCGAATATATCGTAATTATGTTTAGATGCATAATCAAATTTTGATGATGATGTATTACTATCCACAAGACGAGTTTCATTTGTAAAACAACCGAGTAATTTAACAGCATCATATAAACTTTGCCAACGAACCTGTAAATTATTAAAAATGAATGTCTGTTATTGTTGTTGTTTTTTATTTTGTCGAACATTATTAAGTTCAATAGTATTAGTCCAAATGAGTGATTTTCTTAATACTTCAATAATGTTCTTTCTATTTGAAAGGGATAAGCGCTATGTAAATAGAAGTTGGTTAGTTTAGAACTCAAAATAATTCTTTGGAATAGAGTTTTTTCTGTTTGTTTAGGCTAGATTTTGGTTATGTTATGTGATATATCATTCTCGAAAAAAAGAACAAATGAATAGTTCATCCACTGATTTAATTTGAGTGCTGAGATGAGAACTCGTCGAATTCTGTCCGTATTATTTTTTTCCGCTTATTTGCATGAATAATTACTGCATTCTCATTCAATCTTATCATCCGAAAAGACATATACAAGAGGAAATATTTCTTTTTTTTATTCCGCCTGTTCTACAAAATATATATTCATAATGTTTTCAAGATTAAAGATTATATTAGGTAAGTATTACATTAATTAGCATGATCATCTAGGATTTACTTTTATCTTTCGAGATATTTTTAGACAAAATTTAAGTAGATACACTTCTATCTAAAAAAAATTCTTATCAAAATAAACAAAAGAATAAAAGACCTTGTACTATCTTTTATCAAGATTTTAACAACGTATATTTTTTATATTAACGAGAAAATCATAAACTTTAGAATGCTTCATGAAGTTATATAACGCTGATTTTCTTTTCAATACATACCTCATTTTCAAATAGACGAGCATTACCAGGTTCAAAACGCATTGCTACAGTTAATGTATTGAGTATAAGCCGAATAATAGATAAAATTTCATGACGAGATACTTAATTTAATGAAATAAATATTATATTTTCTTATAATTACTCTATTTACCTGTTGTCCATGGATGTTTAGGTGGTACAGATAGACAACCTTCCATTGATATTAATAATGACACAATATATACAAAACCACCGACTTTTCGAAAAACAGTACGAGTTCGATGACTTTCTCGAAGAATATATAAAAATCCCTTAAGAATAACTGATTTCATTTCTAATTCTTCTAATTTGGCTGTATGAATAAGGCCTAATAATGTTCCTGTATCATCTTCACCACCAGTACATAAAACTAAATGAAGTACAACTGTTAATGCTGCTACTCGACATAATCGATATGGAATAATATTATGTGCAAGTCTTGCACCACCATGTTCTCGAAAGATTTCTAGAAAAACAAATATATATATAAAATCTTTTTTTTCCCAATATAACAAAATAAACATACTAGCATTTTTCGGATTATGTGATAAAAGTAAAGCCAATGCTTCCATAACTAGAAAACCTAATTCTTTTTCATCTTGATCCATATTATCACCAATATCTAAAATACTAATTAAAAAAAAATATCTCTTTGTTTTTTTCTTCGTACCATTTGGATCTTGTACTGATTCTTTAAGTAATGTAGCAAAATGATGTAAACGTCCAATAAGTACTTCAATAAAACCTAAATCTCGAAGACCTTCCTTTAATGCATTATTAAATTTAAGTATATGAATTAAATATTTGACACAATTCTTATGATTTCGTATTGCACTAGAAAAAAAAAAAAGAAGGAAAATTTCTTTTTCGTCTAAGAATCTATTGAATTGGAAAAATTCTTAATTTAAGATCAAATATATTCTCCCAATCGTAAAACTATTCAAGTGAATATAATAGAATTTTTTCATATGAATAGAGATAGAAATTTTCCTATACCTATTTGATTTAAGCATGATTGATAAATTAACAAGTTCTCTATGTGGAATATATTTAAGTTGGAATACAATAAATTCCAAAAGATCATAAATTTTTAATTGAACATCATTTGGTTTATCATAAAGTACTTCTGTTAATGGTGAAAGATTTTCTCCGCAAAGAAAATAATTTGCATTATCAGCTAATATAACACTACTAATTGTATCAAATATAATATTGATTAGAAATGGATGTGTTGACTAAGCAAAATACAAAAAAGTATTAATAAGAAATAAATAGAATTAAGACAAAAAAAACCTGTTGAAAAATAGATTGAAGAATTGTAAATGCAGAAAGATTACGAACAATAAAACCTAGAATTTATTTTATTTTGAATATAAAAAACAAAAAAAAGAATAATTTCCTACCGGTTTTTTTTGGTTGTGGCATAGTAAAAGTTGGTATATCAGTAAGTGTTTCAGGTCTTGGAGGTAATTTAAGTTCATTAAAACCTGCATATGTAAAATCACCGAGTAATGTAATAAAACGTGCAAAGAATTTTTCCGATTCATCATTAATCCATTCATTTTCAAGTCTATTGATAGAAAAAAAAAAGAAAAGAAATTTTTTCTTCTTCCGTTAAATATTATAGTCACGTTCGAAATAATTTTATTAATAATAACAAATCAATTCTATGTAATTAATTAATTACCTTAGAATAATATCTTTCAAATGAACATAACAATGTGCAAGACGAAAATCATCCATAAGACTCGATGATAAGGATGATGATTCAATTAATAAACATATTAATGTTTCATAAACACGTGCCATATCTTCTAACGATAAATCGCATGTTCCTTGACGTAAATTTTTTACACATTGAGATATATGCTTATTATCTATTCAATATAGAAAATAAATATTCTTTTCGTTTTTTTTTCTATCTGTCAAATATTTATAGAATAAATAAATTTACTATGTATGCATTGAATAGCTGATTGTAATGTATGCTTTCCAATTAATAGAAGCATATCAGATGCTTGTATTCTCCATGGTTTATTACGTTGAGGACAATTACTGGATATAGCATTAAATAATAATGATAGATCATCACGTCGTGTTAATTCTTCAACACATGAATTTGATATTGCAATACGTGATAAAAGCTAAATTATTATATGTATATATATATATTTAAAAAAAAACTCTTTTTTTTTATTTTACTTGAAAAAATATTTGTTGAAGTAATATACGTTTTTCTTTAGGTGATATAGCATCATTTGTTATAGGATTTGATGATATATCTGGTAAATCAAAAAATAAAGATAAACATTTAACAAATGTACTTGGTAATGATGCTTGTGCAAATTTATCCAGAATAAGATTAGGTCCAGTTGATAATAATTTAAGTGACCGAAGTAATGACCATCCTGATAAAGAATTTGTTTCATCATTCATTTCTAAATATTCAATAATAGCTTGACTTGCAGCATTGGTATTTGGTTCTTTATCAGCACGCATACGTATTTCTGATACAAGTAATTTAGCAAGTGTGAATGAATATTCAGATAATTCAGGAAAACGTTCTTCCCATTCATTATTTGATAATACACTAAGAACTTTTATAACCATTGGTATAGTTGAATATAGACGATCATTTTTATCCTGTTGTGTCCATTGAATTTTAGGACGTTGATATTCAAAAAATATTTTACGAAGATGTGTTAATGTAAGAATAATATCTTGTGATGTTGAATTAGCAGAATTTGATATTATTCCTCCAGATAATACAGGTGCAGCTGTTGTTGCTGATGATGACGATGATGATGATGATGAACCACCACCATCACGTTTTGTTAAAAATGATTTAATTATTTTACTCATTATTAATATTAATCATCTTCGAAAAGATCTGTATTAATGATAGAAGAAAGAAAAAAAAAGAGAAGATAATCAAAATAGACTTTATTTAGATATTAGTAATAAAAATATCAATTAAGCATCTAAAAAAGACAAGGGAAATAGTACGTTCTCTTTTTTCTAGACGGGTGTCAAGCGAGTCTTATAGCGTCGAACGAACGGCACCGCTCGTTCATGCATTTTGATTAAAGAAGAAAAAAAAATCAGATTTCTTATTCGATGAGTTTACAATGCAACAGAACAGAACAACATAAGATGTCTCTGCTTGACAGATGTTCATCATTTTTTTTTATTAATACACTATAGAGGAAAATCTTTTACAAAAAAATATTAAATTCAATTACAAATTTTATTTAAAAGAAAAATTATTTGTTTTAAAGTTTATTAATTGGACATTTTATTTGATAATATTATAAATTCAATAATAATTTTATTAATATAATTATCATATGAATATATTTCAATATTGTCTATATTGATTACATCAAGATCTGTCACTAATTGCTTCGTAAATTATTTTAATGGTGTTACTTAAAACTGATCGTACATCGAATAAATAACTTTATCTTCTAGATATTTCGAGATGTCATATTCTTCGAACATAAAATTGTTGTTTAAGGTATAAAATAGTAAGAACGATGTAATTTTATACGTTATAACATTGATCATGTAAAATTAAACGGAAATTTTACAAAAATTAGTTCTATATATTTTATATCGTTCAATGATATTGCATGTTCATATGTGCCTATATTATGAGAATCATGTAAAATTTAAACTTGCCCATATTCTCTAGAAAATTTTTCAGTTATAATCAGAGCGATTTAAAACTGACTTATTTTTTTATATAAAAAGATTTTACATTTAAAAAATTAGTTTCAATGATGTTCTTTAATGTTTAGTAAATGTAAGATGACATCATCGATTAAGTTTTCCAATTATTGATTTATTCAAACATGTGTTTCTTTTCTTGTTTCATGATGTTAAGTACATATTACGTCGATAACTTGACCTTGATAACATAGTCTTTTTTTAGGCAACAATGTATCCACCATTCATTTTTTTAATACAGATACTTATTAAGATAATATATAATATTAGAGAATTACTAAATATGACATTGGAAGTCAACATTCAATGCATAGAATCATCTATCATCAATATAAATATATATATCATAATCGATTATATATGCCAGATTTGCCCTCAAAATCATTAGAATTATCAAAAACGATGAATGATGTATCATACGGTAGTTGTTTCGATATTTTACGCTTATTGTATATTATATAAGTTTAACATTGAAAATTTCTCATATAAACTAGATACTCACAATATTATAATTTAGGGATGTCACTTTAACTTTACTTTAAACGTAAAGTTAAAGTTAAAGTGACATCCCTATTATAATTCATCATACTAATAGAATCATTCTTCTAATATTCAAATTAGTATTACAAATCATATACTTCTATTGTGTGAAATTCACCTGCTAGATATTTTATTTATTCAATAGAATTTCTAATTATAGCCTATTAGAACTATGTCGTATGTAGGAAGTTATAATAGATTTTTTTATCTTATAAAAATATATTTTCATATAAGGAATACTTGCTTTTGTCTCTATAGATTACAAAGCATTAACAAAGAATGCACTATTTTAGCTCGTAAATTTGATTATCTATTGATTGCATTAACCAGTCAAATTATTTGTTAGTAGTCATTGATGTTAAAAATATGATTAGAACTGACTTGTCAGTTTCATATAGGTATAGTATTATAAACAAAATCCTTTTGTAATTAACTAAATTTTTTTATTAGAAAGACCGCTATGAAAAAGAAATTAAATGGAAGAATAATCCGTTTAATCATATTTATTATCTCAATTAATGAATTTGTCACTAGAATTATTCCGTGTTTTTTTTGTACTAACTATGGTTTTCTAATATTGATCATTCTTAAAATGTGTCATTAAACGAAAACTGATAATACATTATATCTATAAATAGCGGGGCAAAATAGCTTTTTTTCATGAACAAATACCAAGGATAATCGTATCTTGTTGCAATCTTCATGAGATATTTTGATTTTATTACTGATATGATACTAGCGTCATATCTATATATATATCATTTTTTATTTATTTTATTCACAGTTTACACAATAAACTAATAAATTTCATTGTCATAGGTATTGATTCTATATGAAGTATTTGTATTATTTGACTATCACCTGATCTATATTGTATTAATCGTATGTATCGTCCAATCATCAAATGCTCAATGAAAAGCGTATATGCGGTTAAAACTTGACATTTAATATATATATATGTGCATGTTAACGAACGTTTTTTTGCTTCTTTTTCGCCTCTGTCGTACGCTCGGGTGCATTTTTACTATACTCGTCACACATTTACTCCTTGAAATACAAACAAGTATGTATATGAACATAAGGCTCTTCTTCCTCTTCGTTTATACTTATTCTTTCTATCTCACAGTGTACTAAAGGTGACCCTCACCTACCAAGACTACTATATTCTCTCTTTTATTTCAAACTTAAGAGCATACTATGTTTAATAGTCAATGATCATGACCAACAACTAACCGAAGAAAGTGATAGAGAAAGAGAAGAGTAAGAAAAAATCGAGACAATCATAATTGTGGTTGTCATACAGGTGAACACATTAGAACAAAAATTGACGACGAGTGATAACTGTATAGATTATAGGATCATATTCCAAAGCAGTCAACTTATCAAACAAATTCACTTATCATTACAATGGGTAATCGGGTAAGAATAGTATATTGTTAATTTTTTACTTTTTCTTAATTATCTGTCCTTGATAATAATGAATGTCATTGAAATGGAACGAGACATACAAACTGTAAATAGACATTGAGTTAACAAAAGAAAACGGAAAATTGTGATTTGTCGTGTTTATTTTGTATACATGTACAGACAACGTCAAAATAGGAAAAGTAATAATAAAAAACTAATTATCACCATTATCCGATGTAACTCTTTCACCTTCAGTTACTTCTTCGTCTTGAATAATACTTGTTGCTTTTCGTTTACGTCCTCTACTAGAAATTGTACTATTAGTTGTATCTATTGTTGTTATTCGTGTACTATTATATCCTTGTCTTGTTGAAACTCGAGAGGTTTTTTTTACTGATTGATTAACGATATTTAATGTCTCTTTTGATATTTGAAGTAAACCAGACTGTAGCTGTTCACGTAAAGTTTTATAAACTTTTTCTAATTGAACTGAATCAGAATAAATTATTGATGTTTCACAATTAAATGTTTGTGCATTTTCAACAAGTAATTTCATATCAGAATCCAGTTGTTCTAAATTTAAATAACGATATGTATCAATTTTTTTTCTTATACGTTCAAAATCAATTGGTTCATTGATTATTTGATAATACAATGGTATTTGTTTTTGTGTAGGCAATCGTATAAATACTTGTGCTAATTGACGATTATCATCTGTACGATATGCTAATAAATGATCAAATAATAATCGACATTGTAATGTTACATTTGGATCAATAGTTTCAAAACGTTTTTTTATACTGACACGTTTAGAAGAAAGATTTTGTTGATTTGATAGGGATGTTGAAGGACTATCAAATGATGAACATGCTTCAGTTTCATCAAGATCAATATCATTATCATGTTTACGATTTTGTTTTCGTATGCGTTTTTGTTCCGTAGCATCATCTAGATTTCCTTCTTCTAATGCTTGTAAAAATTCTTTATCAGTTAATGTATCACTATAATCAATATCTTTACGTTGACGACATCCTTTACCCAAATCATCATCATTTTTAAGAGTTTTTTCAATTTTATCAACATCATTTTTTAACCATTGAGGTAATTCATCGTCAGTTATAAGACGATTTGTTTTCATTTTACGATGACCTCTTGATATTTCTTGAGTAAAATCAACATCTTCTTCATCTTCAAGATCTTCTAATACTGATGGCATAGTTTCATCATTTGTTGTTGATATTTCTTCATGAATTATTTCATCATCATTTTCTTTTCTACGTTTAATTTGAGATGTAAGTCTTGTATTAGATAATTCCCATAAACGATATTCATTAGCACCAACACCATGAATAGATTCAAATCCACGCCTAGCAATATCCATACGATTAAATAAATCAAATTCTTCTTCAGTTCGAGCAATCATCTATTAATAAAAAATTATTTCGAAATTTTTGAATATAGTAAAGATAAAATCATTTGTACTTATAGTACATTGTAATAAAAAAACGATAATTTTTCTCATTGAATAAATTCATTTTATAATTGTACTGAGTAAGACTACAAGGCTAGTACCTTACGTAATATTCTTTACTCTTTTCAAATTAATTTGAAAGTGATATTTAAACTTACTTGATTAAGAATTTCATCATCGGGAATATCTTCATCATTATTTTTACAATCATCTTCACCTCCAATTAATTGTTCAAGATAATCATGTCGTTGACTTGATGTTGATGAACGATTAAACATTCCTGCTTGTATAACTTTTTCTTCAACATTTAATTTATATCTTGCGCAAGCTAAGATTTTTTCTTCAATTGTATTAACAGTCATTAGACGTAAAACTCGTACTTCATTTTTTTGTCCAATACGATGTGCACGATCTTGTGCTTGTTGATCTTGATGTGGATTCCAATCTGAATCAAATAAAATAACTGTATCAGCTTTTTGTAAATTTAATCCAACACCACCAGCACGTGTTGATAATAAAAATATAAAACAATCAAAATTCTCATCATTAAATTTTTTTAATAATTCACAACGATCATCAGCTTTAGTTGTACCATCTAATCTTAAATAAGAATAATTTCGATATTCAAAATAATATTTAAGTAAATCCATAACTGATGTCATTTGAGAAAATAATAAAATTTTATGATTTGTTGCTTTTAATTTTGGTAATATACGATCAAGTAATTCAAATTTACCTGATACACGAAATAGATCAGGACCATTAATAACTCCATGTTGATGACCAAGTGATTGTGCTAAACGTTCTTCTATTTCCTGAAATAAACATGGATGATTACAAATTTTACGTAATTGCATAATTTTATTCATTAATGCTCGTCGTCCACTTTTACCATTTTGATCTTCAATAATTAATGTACGATTTTTTGACATTGCATGATAAAGACAACGTTGTAAAGCAGATAATTCACATTTTATTATATATTCAACCTATAAAAAGAAAATCTTGTTTTTTTTTGTATTTAAATGATTTAATAATTTATGTAATACTAACTTTCTCAGGTAATTGTGATTCGACTTCTTTTTTAAGTCGTCGTAAAAGAAATGGTCGTAAAACTTTATGTAAACGTTGAATAATTATTAATGTTTCTTCATGATTTAATTCAACTTTTTCACTTGGTAATGTTGCAAATGGTGCATTAAACCAATCTGTAAATGTTGTTGAAGATTTAAATATTGATGGTAAAATAAAATTTAATAATGCCCATAATTCTGGTAGATTATTTTGTAATGGTGTACCTGTTAATAATAAACGATGTGGAGCATTTGAATAATATCTACTTAAGATTTGTGTTAATTTACAATGATGATTTTTCATTCGATGTCCTTCATCAACAATTAAACATTTCCATGAAATTTTTGATAATATTGAACGATCACGTATTACATATTCATATGTTGTTAATAAAACATTTAAACGATTTGTACGTATTGTTTGTGCAAGCATTTTACGTACATTTGGTAAACCTTTATATTGTAGAACTGTTACTTCAGGTGCCCAACGTTGAAATTCAGAAGCCCAATTTGATAATGTTGATAATGGAACAATAATTAATGATGGTCCTGGATTTTTTTTATAATCAATTAAATGTACAATTAATGCTATTGTTTGAATTGTTTTTCCAAGGCCCATTTCATCAGCAAGTATACCATTTAAATTATTATTATATAATGAAACAAGCCATTCAAGACCTTGTAATTGATATGGTTTAAGTTGACCACCAACAAGCATTTTTGATTGTTCTATTATTGGTTCACGTATACGATGAGCAATAGAATAATAAGATTCTTTTGCATCATATTCATCATCTTCATTTGTTGCTGCATTTTCAACAGCATCACATATTGTTTCATCATTATTAGTTTGATCAAGAATTGAACTAGAAAAAAACAAAACAAGATTTTAATTTCGTCAGGTTTTTACTGATTCAACAAACTTACGTTGTTTGTAATTCTTGATCAGATGAAGAAGGATTGATAACGTTTGTTGATTGTCTTTGTGATCGATTTGCTTGTTGGTGTTGTCGTACTAATTGTTTAAGATTATTGATATAAGTATCTGTTTGTGATAATAATAATGATAAACGTGCATCTTTTTTCTTCTTAACTAATTCGCTATAACCTTTTTCATCTGAAATCATTAAAAGTTGAAGACGTTCTTTTTCTTCACGTTCTTCTTTTTTAATTAATACACGTTCGTTACTAGCAAAACGAACTTGAATTGATTTATTTAAACGTCTAATTGTCATTGTACATCGACGATGATATTCACGAAATTCTTGTGCATGTGTTAAAATATTTTTTAAGACCTTTTGATGTTTATCATATTCTTGTTGTTCAATTTCTAATTTACGTTGTCGTTCATATTGTAATGTTGAACGTGCTTCACGAAGTTGATAACGTTTTGGACGTTTATATACACGAGGATTAAGAGCAGTTTGAATCAATGTATCTTTCTAGAATGATATGAAACAAAACCTATTGATATATAAACAAAAAATTAAAGGAAACCTTCATTGTATTAACAATTTCATTGCGTAATTGTTTTTGAAATTGAAGTAATTTAAGTGATTTTAATTCAATTAATGCTCGTGTTCGTAATTCAATATTCATATTAGCTGGCATATGTTCTAATTCTTGAATACGATTTGACATACGATTAAGAATATTAAGAAAATAATTGAATGAAAATTTTTATAAATAAATAATTTTATGTAAAATTAGTTACCGTTTTTCTCGTTCTTGTTGAATATATAATAGATTAAAATGAATTGGATGTTTTTGAATACGATGAAAACTATTTTCTTCATTTGATTCAACTAACCATTGATATAATTGTTTTACTGATGAAAATGTTAATGATGTAATAGTATTATTTTGATCATTATTGGCTTTGGAGATGTTTGTAAGAATGATACCTGTTGGTTTAGATTGCGCTTGATGAAGATGATTTTGAAGTAGAATAGCTAATTGTGATTTATATGAACATGCATTAAGTAAAGAATCTGATACAGGTAAATTACGAGCTAAAAGACGATATGTAGCTATTTGAGATTTAAGAACATTTGAACGAAGATGATCAAGTTCAGACGAATCAATTGTTATGAAAGACGTAGTATTATGATCCGTCGTGATCATTTTTGATTTATCTAAAAACAAAATCATTTAATATAATTTGTGCGTATGTAATCTAAAAATAATATTTATTTTTATCTTAGTTGGCTAAACCGCCACCACTAGAACGTCCGTATGCACCAGTAAGGGCTAGAAATGCTCCACCATCGCCAAGACCTTTTCCAGCTATTAATCCACAAGCATATCTGCAAGGACCTCCTGGTGGATATCCGAATTACCCACCTATAAGAGGTAATAATAATTTTTTTCATTTTATCGAAAACTCATTTGTTCATTTTTATAGGTGGTATGGAACCGCCAATAATGAATTATAGTGGTGGACCTGGCATGTATCCACCTACAATACTTCCATCCATGCCTCCTTCTATGCTACCACCTCCAATGCCGTATCCAAATCAAGGTCCAATGTCAGTAGGACCATCGTATTATGAACCACCATATTCGTCACGTCCACGTCGTCGTCCAACAATACGTGTTTGTCGTCGACCACGTCGTTCACGACGTTGCCGTCCTACTATACGTGTTATTGAATCAAGATCAAGTTCATGTTCATCATTATCATCATATACAACGGTAAGTTCATGTTCACCACGTCGTCATCGATCACGTTCTTGTTCACGACGATGTGGAGGATCACGACCACAACAACAACAACAACAACAACAACAGCAACCGATTATCCTTCTACCTATGCCATGTCAACAACAAGCACAAGTGGCAGCAGCACCAGCACCAGTTCAACTTCCCGTACAAAATCAAATTCAACAACAACCGCAACAAATCATTTTACCACCTATACGTATTCAACAGCAAGGACAATACGATCAACTACAACAGCAACAAATACAATTACCACAGATGGCAATTTCACAAGGAGGTGGACAATTTCAACAACAACCTTTTACTTTACCACCTATACAGCTTGCTGCATCTAATTTTGTTCAAAGTGCAAATTCAAGTCCAATGATGGTTTCCAGTGGTCAACCAATGATACAACCATCATTATCATTGCCACAAATTGCGACCATTACACAACAACCACAACAACTACAACAAATGCAAGGAGGAGGAACAGTTCAATACATACAAGCAGTACCACAATCAACATCATCACAATTACAATATGTATCAGCTCAACCACGTTCGACTATCGCACCACAACGTGTTCTAGTAAACAGTACAAATAAAAAAGATTCATCATCAATTAAACAACTTCCAAGATCCAATTCAACACGTGATATACCTCAAAATGATCTTAAATTTGGTCGACGTCCATTTGACTGGTATGGTAGTGAGAGAAAGAAGAATATTGTTAATGAAAATCTTCAAGTTGGACGACGAAGAAGTGTTATTAATAATTAAAATACAAAAAACAGACACTAAAAACTGATTCAACTATTCCAGTTGTCATTTTAATATCATTTAGATTAATAAATAAATAAATATAAACTTTTTTCCCACACTAAAATTATGAAATAATATGTATTATAATGCAATAAGGTACACAATCTTTTTCTTATTGGCCGTTTCGAATCGTCAGATTGAGAATTGCAACGAGATGTCGTTATATTCGTCGAAGCTTTTTATATTCTTTACTCTATAAGATTAAAAACTGCTTAATTTTTTCTCATATTTATACTTGTCGACAAAAAAAAACAACCCTAACTGTCAGAATGAAAAGAAATACTTTTTTCGTTCTGAAGTAACTTTCTTTCTTCATCTTACATATGATTATATGTTGTAAGTTGTCGATGAATTTCATAATGTTGGTTATAAAAAATGATGATATTTTATTAGTTAAATATGAAATACGATAAGCTAAAAATAATTACTTTAGTTTTCATAGTCATTATTAAAGATCAAACATCAATAAAAAGAAGTTCATTATTATACCATTTGTTGTGAGAGTAATAAAATAGCATGAGAATTGGAATAGTGAAGAAAAATTGTTTAGAATAAAACAAAAACCATATCAATACAATCGCTTCAAGATTCAAATGAGAAGAGATAAGTATGAAGGAATTTAAAATCCTCGATTTATAACTGACATTAGTTATTTGTTCTTCAGAAAATATATATTAATTTTATAAAAATATGAAGAACATTTGGATAATTTCTATGTGACAACTGAACAATTATGACAACACAAAAATAAATAAAACTAAATTTATTATAATCAAATTAACTATAAACTATTCTAAAATATATATAAGTTTCTAACTCTGTATAAAAACTATTATCGAATTGAATAAATCTTTGAAACCATAAATTCAATCACCATATACTATTTCTTGTATAAAACTATTACATTACGAATATTACATATGAACAATTATTTTACTCATTATAATAGTCTAAATATATTCTTAGTTAAATAGATTCGGGTAAATAATAGTATGTATCTATTTTCAGTGTCCGATTCATCATAGTTTGTGGGCTGATAAATACATATATATATATGTATATGATTCTTTGTTTTGTCTACAATGGATATACATATCGAGGCCATCGATTATTTTCATGTTTCTCTCTCTTTCTGTCGTTTTCTTATCTAGATTTTCTTATACGATATATATAAAATACGCAGAAAATCTCTGTTTATTTCACTATTTCGTCGATCTACGTTGATGTGAGTATAGAATCAATAAAATTCGAATAACTATTTATTTATAAATAGATTACAAATAATGTCACCTCTTCTTATTGTTCTCTTATTACTTGGTGTTGTCTCAGGTGCCTTCAAACCTGAACGTGAATTTGAAATAAAACAAGGCAGTTTATTAAACAATGGTCGAAGTTATACGTTAGTTACAAATTATTTTCTTTTGATAAATATATCATTTTGTAATATTTAGAATCACTGATACTAGTAAATCAGCAGTTAAAGATGCAGAAGCTCTTTATACAATTTCGAATGATTTAATTAGTCTTGGCAAAAAACTTGTTTTACTCGAAAAAGGACAACCACTTTATGAATTAAAACATAAATTAGGCCATCTTTATCAAAAGTAAATTTTTTAAAATTTAAATGTAGATTTTTATTTATATTTAATAAAATAGATGGAATATTTATGATGTTAAAGCAAATGAAAATATTGGTACATTAAGACATCGTCCATCAATTATTCGTGATTCATATAAATTAAAATCAACTAAATTTGGTAATTTTCGTGTTACTGGAAATATTGGTAATCGAACATTTTCAATTAAAAAGAATGGTCGTAAAGTAATGCTTCGTTTTTTTTATTAATAATTAAAATAAAATATTTATTTGATTTTATTGTAAAGGTTGCTGAAATTCAGAAAAAATTACTTCATGTTCATGACACTTATCGTGTTCAAATTGAAGCTAATCAAGATCCAGCTATTATTTTACTTCTTACAATTGGTATTGATGAAATTCGTAAACATTAATTCATAACTTTTCTAGTTTTCTTTTCTTTTCTTTTCTTTGTTTTAAACACAAAATAAAAATTTAACAAAAAAAAACATAATCCATTATTTTTCTTGCAAGTGTGTGAAGGATCGAATGATTATCGACACTTAAATAAGACTAATAGAATTTTTTTTTGATGAGATTATTCTATTATATGAAATTGTCTTTATAACACCTTGTTGATTTTAATCAATTGAAATCAAAAGCCTAGTTTTTGCTAGTGACAAATCTTTACATGGTGTGTTTAAAAAAGAAAGTAACTTATTAAGAATATAATATTATCATCACCTTCCTAGAAAAATTTGTTTCTAGAATGTCCTTCACTCATTTTCAGTACTTAGTTACGTCCCTGAGTTCAAGACTTATTTTTCGGATCCAATTTAAAGAAATTTCTCTTCTATTCACTTACATAATTAAACATACATAAAATATATCTATCCTATTTTTTATGTCTTACTATACTCATTGATCTTATAAAATATTCTTTTAATTCATCTTAATATAAAACAAGTATATTCAGAAAATTATCGATGAATCTTCTCTTAAATAAAGTAGATCTTAATCTCTAATAAAATATTCTAGATAATCATAAAATATTATTCTTTTCATTGTATCTTAATCGGCTTGCTCTCGTTTTCTTTTTTTGTACTACTTTACTTTTAATGTTATTATATTATTGCCGGATTGCTTAATCATTGGTTCCTCTCTCCTTCATCTTTCTTTTTTCTTCATCTTTATACGAATCATAAATAATTCTCTCGTTCGGAGAACGACCAATTAGCCACGGCGAACGAACACTCTACTTGAAATAAAAAAAAGAAAGAACGAACGTCATTGCCCAAAGAAGAAAAAAAATCGAGAAGAGAGAGAGAGAGAGAGGGAGAGAGAGATAGAGAGAAAATATATTCACATTTAATGATCGACACTCGTCACTATTATGTTCTAATTGAACAATGTTTGGTCTCCCACCATCAACTTTTTATCATCCATCTTTCATGTATGTACCAACTCATGATATGACTAAAACAAGTACACCTGATGGAAAACGAAAACAATCCGGCAAATGTCAATCTCTAATGAAAAAGTAGATTAGGAAAAATTCTATCTTTATATATCTATTATTTTATTAATTTAGGTTTTGTAATAATAATAATAATTCCGATCGTCCGGTGAAAAAATCTTCATTTGATATTGAATCATTATTAGAATTAAAAACAAAAGATAATCAAATATCCAATCGTAGTTATAATGAAGATACAGAAGATGGTTCAAGTGATGATGGTCATACATCATTTCGTAGTCCACCAATATCATCCTATGCTCTATTTAATCAACTTAAAACACTTGATATGACAATAAATAATACTACGAATAATAAAAATGATCTTACACGTAAGATTTCAAATAAAAAACAATATTTTTTTTGGAAGAGAAATTTTTTTTCGTTAGCTTCATCATCATCTGAATCAGATCATTCTCCATATCGTAAACATTTAACAAGTTCTCGTCATGGAATGAATCATAAAAATAAACCAAAACGTATTCGTACAATATTTACACCTGAACAACTTGAAAGACTTGAATTAGAATTTGATAAACAACAATATATGGTTGGAAATGAAAGATTTTATTTAGCAACAACACTTGATTTAACTGAAGCACAAGTTAAAGTAAATTAAATTTTCTTTTTATTATAATAAAAAACTTTTTTTTTCTGTTAGGTTTGGTTTCAAAATCGTCGTATTAAATGGCGTCGTCAGGCATTAGATGATCATCAACAGCGATTAACATCATTTGCTGGTAATCCACCAACATCTCAAACAACAACTGATGAACATCATAATTCAGACTCTGATGACTAAATTTTTCCGTTTGTTTTATTTGACGTGTTAAACTAATGAATTGTTTTTCGTTTCACATCATGTAAATATGCGTATTTTCAATATTTCTTGCCTAATTCACAAGTTCTTGTCAGTAAACAAAGTCGTGTGTGATTGTTCTCACGAGAAAAAGAAAAAATGTTTTTTGAAGAGCAATGATTATTGTTATTATTTCTATAGATAATACTTTTTAACACGCTTGGCATTAATTTGTTTTATTCAACTATAACACCTAATTCAATCGATCAGGTGGAAAGAAAAGAAAAAAGAGAATGATCAATATTGGATAGAAAAAAAAATTAGTTCGATGTTTAATAATTCAATACGATACCAATTAATCCTTCTTCTTCTTCTTTTTTTTTTCTAAAGAGCGATAAGTGTGTTTGTATACATTGGACAAACAATGAAGATGAGAACAGCCACCGTATGGATGCATCATAACTATACTTGTTCAATTTAGAGAAGAGAAAGGAGAAAGAAAAAGAATAAAAATTCTTTTTCTATTGTCTTGATGATTTTCAAGTGTTTGATTTTGTCTACGATAATGCTAATGATAACAAATAATAACCTACAGTGCTCTATTGTCAATGAGGAAAGATCATGTGAAAAAAGATAGTAATGAACATTTGACTCTTGACTAGTCAACAATAACTTGCATAATAAGATCATCAATATGCATGAGCATATAGAGAAATAATGAATATTGAGACTTCAAAAATCAAATAAAATCATTTAGTTTGATTGTTTATTGAATAAAATTTGTTTTGTCGATGCTATATTTATATATCGAATAATATTGGAATTGATTTTTTATTTTGTCTAAAAATAACAATAAATCTGTCGAGTACATTCATATTTTTTTTAATGTTTACATTATCATTGCGAGAAATACTTATCAAATAATTTATATATTATTTTATTTTTTTTTATCTTTACACTATTGTATGAAGTAGTTACGTCGTCTAATTGGTCTGTAAATAATTTATCATTATGACATGCAAATATTATTAAACTTGAGGTTATTTATGAGAATAGAACATTCTAATAAATTCTAGGTTAAAATTTATATTTTCGTTCTCTAAACTATATTAATTGTATAGGAGTTTGAACATTCAATAGCAGAATTAAATCAACGTTAGTATAAGATGTTTTTTAATTGCGCTATCTTTCTCTTTAATATTGAAAGCACACAAAAGCGATAAACACTATTGAACATCTCATAGAATGGACATACATATTCATTATCTTTAAGAAATGTTTTTGTTTTAGTATAACTCATTTTATTTATTTAAATAATTATGTTATTCCATTTGATAGTCATACAACTTCATACTCAATATATAAGTACAATTTGGCCATCATCAAACAATTCAAATATTCAATTATTAGGTCTTTTTCCAGATATGGATAATATATCGAAATCTAGTACATTTTCTGTTCATTCTCGAGCTATGTTCAAAGCAGTAATATTACTTTCTCATCGATATGACATAAGAATTAGAGGAGAACTTATTCAATGGCAAACAATACAAACTGCTGGTGATATTATAAGTGCTCTAGATAGTATGTGTCAAGCAATCTCATCTTCAATTATTGTTGGTTCTGGATTTTCACGAGACTGTTCTACAGTTGCTGCATTTGCCGAAAGAGTTGGTATTCCCATTGCAGAGTATGCAACTAACAACATTTATAGTAATTTAACATTAGTTGATACAGATTTTGATAAGAGTTCATATGGTATTGTCATGCCTAAGCAAGCGTCGTATATTCAAGATGTAGACGTATGTATATTATCATTACAAGAATTAGGTGTACTCAAACAATTGAGAATAAAATGGTTTCAATGACAGATATGTCCTGATATAGTTGATCCACCTACCGATATGGAAGTTGAATCATAAATCGATTTATTTGTTATTTTTGGAATTATTAATATTCTATCATTATTAGTATTTACATATAAGAAACGATAAATAATAAGAGATTATCTATTGAAGGTAATTCGTCGAGCAAAATCTTTTGGTTCAAGATCATAAATCTACAGTGTGAAATCGATGTAAAACTGTTAGACATTGGAAAAAAGTTGTAATAAAATATGTTCTTTGTTAAACTATTCAATATGTATTGAAGATAAGTATATATTTAAATATAAATAATAATAATGATATCTTATGTTTTGTATTTTATTTACGTTGATAAATTCTATACTTTGTAAATAAAAGCTTTATTATAAAACTGCATATTCATACTGCTCAACTATAGATTCAGACATAATAATTATATAACATGAAACTATTCTCAGTACATTTATTTATGACAGAATGATGCATTTCTCTATTATAATACTTAAAAAATGAAAAAGTTTTTTTTTCATGAAGTCAAAATTGTATAAATGATTAATTTCTAATCACTGATACATTTCTGTCAGCAATAGATATTGGTGTAAGAATCGTAGTCGAAGATGTGACAGTAGTCGTGACGATAGTAGAATTTAGAGTTGGTAATATATCATTACTATTAAAATGAGTAATTGTAAGTTGTGTTGTAGAGGATACTGTTAAGTTCTTAGAGTTCATTGTTGTAAAGGCAAATGCTAGAAGAAGAAAAAAAGAAATAGTAGAGAATAATGACCTTTTTTTACCTGCTGCTTCATAAGCTAAATGATGAATTTGATTGAATTCTGAATGAAAATAAAAGTATAAATGTATATCAAATAAATATCTTACCAATTGAAATAAGTATAATTGCTGTTATTGCACTTAATCCAGCAATCATAGCTATAAATATTAAAATAATTGTTTTTCTTCTAGACGTTGATTTTTGATTTTCATACATTTCATTATTACTATTCTAAATTAAGTTTCAAAAACAAAATAATTTTTTATTCAATTCTCAAAAATTTTACTGAATTTTCTTTCATTTTAATATTGTTAAACAGATCAATCTTGAGTTATTGAACTTTAAAAATGATAAAGAGAACGAGACAAAAAAAAGCAAGTTGAATGAGAGAAGATATTTATTAATACAAAACAGAATCAACATAGAAGAGAAGAATTTCTAGATACAAGATTAATTAATAACATCTTGAAGAAATTTATTTAACAATTGTTGAAAGATTTTCATATTCATTTTGATTTAAAGGAACTATCATAGAATGATCTGCTGTATGTATAGTCGATGGACGAATAAAAGATTTCAAACGATCAAATTGATATCGATGGCTTCTTTAAAAAAAGTCTAGTTGTTCAAAATACATTGAATACTTTCTTACTGAATAAATCGACGAAGAAGAATTGTTATTAAATATAAAACAAAATGACTTATTGCTGTAACAATTGAAGCTATTAAATAATGAAGCTAGAGAAAAAAACGAAATACTTCATTGTACATATAAAAATAAAATAATTATTTAACAAACAAGTTTTTTAACAAAAGAATGACAAAATAAATGTATAAAATTCTCATGAAGTTCATAGAGTATTCGACAATGACCAAAATAATGCTCATTCTCAGAATAATTCTAAAATAAATACAAAAGATATCAGACAAGATCATTAATTCATTATTTATCAAAACTTTTACTTACTAAATGATATTGATTGAAATAAAAACTTTCTATATTAAACGACTAGAAGACAATCAATTTTATAAAACAAAAAATTTTATGTTATTTACTTGATTTTCTAATAACGCCAAATGAATAAAATCATTAATCGACCATAATGGTAAATTTTGTTCACATTTTCTAAACAAATATTTCTCGAAATTATTTGAAATTATCATATCTACTTAAGTAATTGATCAATATTCAAAGAATTATTATTCATTATAGATAAAAAACTTGAATTAAACCATTTACTACCATACAAGAACTATTTATATAAAAAATAAATATATTTTAATTTAACACAAAAAAAAAGAATTCATCGAACTGAATTATAAATTTGTTTATATTTCAATTCATTACAAGCGGAACAAGCACCAGCTACATGTGGTAGAAGAATAATTAATTTAGTAAACCTAAATTTATTCAGGGTAAAATATAAAATAAAATTTGTATTTATAAATCACCATAGAACAAAACTAATCCAATATATAATTGATAATCTACAAAAATACATAAACTAATCATTTTATTGATGAAGAATATTACTACATAAAAGTCATATTTGTATATTGAAATAGTTTTACATTAGACCAATGTAATTTTTTCAATAATATATAAAGAATAAATCCAAATAGAATAAGAAATATAACAATAAAAATTATTGTTGATAAATGAATACTAAAAAGAAATATAAGATATAAAATTTTCGTTTCGATCAACTTACATAAACCAAGGATTAAATAATTTTTCTAATTTTTGTAAATGTATGGATGAAGTATGAAAAATCTATGAAGAAAAATTATTTGATATTAATTTCTATAAAATAGAGTACTTTCGTCAGATATGATACACCATTTAATGCCGAATTAATCTACAAATATGACAATTAGATTTTAATAAATTAATTTTTTATCTTACAGAAAGATTTTGATTCATAGAGAATTCATAATCAAATTTATCTTCGTTCACAGTTTCAATTGAATGCAAAAAACAATTTGTTTTCTTAATAAAAACCAAATTTCGTAAATGAAAGTGATTTTTTTTCTTTTTCATAATTACTAATGCTGTATGTTCGATAAAAGAAGTGAATTCTAATAAAGAATTTTGAATATAATTATGAATTTTAGTTTTAAGTCGAATTTCATCAATATAGATAACGATTATCCATAGAAGAAAACCACTAGAAAATAATGTATTTTTTTGTTCTATTGAATAACCGAATAGTTTCTACTTTGTTACTACAAAACAAATAAAGAATATTATATAGACACATTGATATAAAATTTGATGTTTTTTTGAAGAATAATTCTCGTATTGTAATGTATTAAAAGCATGTGAATAAATACGAGTTTGTTTTTGTACAATCTTTTTATTTTGTTTGTATTTACAAAAAGATTTTATACTTGATATAATGAAGAAAATCAATAGAAAAATCAAAATGAAAACAATTACAAATAACCATGCATTATTTGAGATCTGTGAATAGAAATGGAAGAGTTTGATGACATATTTAGTTAAGATCTTTTTTTTTTTTCAAAAATATCTGTGTAAAAATCGAATGATTAGAAATAAGCTTACTATATGTAAATTATACTGAACAAAAAATGATAGATTATTGAATTCATCAAGTTGTTGACCAATGAGACCTATGAATAATGGAATATATTATTTAAACTTTTTGAAATATTACTCCAAGGAAATGCTATATTCATTTGAATAAATTTTTGATAAAACCAATGAGTCAATCGTTGATTTTCTATTGAAGTATAATCATTTGATTTCGATATGAATTTTGCTTTATATTCCGTTTGAATAAATTCACATGAAACTGAAATAGTTTGTTGAATCATAGTCAAGAATATAATCAAGTCAAACATGTTTTCAATAACGATTGAAATAATCAGCTGATTTTTCTTTCATTAACAACATTCAAACTAAGATCAATACTTAATTATCTACGTCATTAAATACTTTACCATGCATAACGTATTTCTATCGCGTTTTTTTTTCTTCTTCATAGAAATTCTCAGATCATTCTAACAAGTGGTACACTTGTGTAAACTTTTATTTTAACTTCTATTCTTTCTCCTTATATTTGTTGCAGAAAGTAAGATTGTGAACTGATTTATTTTCTGAGAATATAGCTTTTAATATATTATGTCAGAAGGAGTGACTTCTGATGGAAATATATTCTTGTTTTTTCGCATATGTGAAGTATTTAAGGAGCTAGTACTATTGAGATAAAAGCTTTTTCATGTTTTCATTCCAAGAAAAAGATTAATATCGAAATAAAGTAAATTAGACAATATTATTTCTATTCGTAGGGCGATGAATAAAAAATTTATTGAAGTTTCTTTTTTTTGTTGAGTTTGTATTGCGCACGTGTATTTATTTTGTCGGTTTGCTTATTCTATCAAGCATTGCTTAATGAACACGGCAACGACATTGTTAGACAGAAAGAATATAATAGAAACTATATTGAAAAAAACTGTTCATTGAAGTAAGTCAGATTATTTCCGAATATTGTAAAGAGATGCAATAATTATTAGGAAAAGAAAAATAGTTTATTTATATCGTAAACGTCAGAATCTACAGATTATATATTATTATCAACATTTTATATTGTAGAATGTTCGATAAAAATGCATTTAAGATTGCAACGAAGTATAGATAATTATAGAAAAAAAGATTATTTCTTTGGGAATTATTATGAGATAAAATCTCGTTCTTTAAGTGTTAGAAAATTAGAAACGTGGGTCACCTCGATATACTCATTAGAAAATATAAATAGTTTCATGCATTGTACATGAAGATTGATATCATCAACTTTGCATTACAAGTTAGTAGTTTTCAATACATGGTGTTTGCCTTTTACCGGTTGAAATCTTTGATTTGTCCAGGAATTTAAGTAGAAACTGTAAATAATCGAGAATGAAAATACATTCATCGTGTAGAATGTAATTCTTTTCATCGAATAATATGCTATGTGAACTTTAATCCAAGCATAAATAATGATAAAACAATCTACTTATCGAATAAGAATACTACAAGAGAAAAATCGTCTTGTTTTATGAAAGTTTTTCTTTTTATTAGAATACACTGCAGTTTGTATTGAATTGAAGGACAACTTTATACTGATATAGTTAAAGACAGATGAAGTTAAAGAATGTATAGAAGGACAAAAAGATAATAATTCTCTGTAACTTGATTCGTTATTGTACATTTACTTCAAAATATAAAGAGAGAATTTCAAAGATAATATATAGTTTTTTTCTAGTATGCCACCATACTGCTTCATCTTTATTGCTTTTGCGATACCTCAGACAATAGTCAATGAAGAAATTACACGTTTTTTTTTGAAATTCTTGATTCTTTCTAACTTGTCTACGACGCACAATGTAATCATATAAAATATTGACACGTGTATCACTTTGTTGACATGTTCTGAGATGACATAAGTTTTATTGGAATTCGAAAGAGAAAGAAGAACTGGAACCGGTATATCAAGGACCAGATTTTTGCTAGTAGAAACTTTGAAAAAAATCTTCTTTAGTACTGTATATGCATTAGTATTATTGCAAATTTATAAGTAATTTGATTTCTTTATTGGATTATTTAAAAAAAATCTTGGAAAATAGTATTCATTGAGGAATAAATCTTTCGTTGAAAGACAATTACTTTCCAAAATGATTTTGTTTATACATATCAGATATACAATAAAAATAAATCATATATAGTTTGAAAAAGAGACAGTTTTCTTTTTTTTTAAGAACGTGCTTGTGAATAGATATCAGGATCGACATTTTATGTTGAAATCCCCTCCATAATAAAAGACCCTGTCTTATTAAAAGACTCCCTCCCCCATAAAAGTAGACCCCTCTAGAGCAAAAATCAGAAAAAAGCGCCATGTGCAAAACATAATAGAAGACCCCGGGGTCTTTTATTACGGAGGGAGGGGGTTTATTATTTTTGCATTGTATGCTAGTTTAGTGAAGTTTCTTCGATTGATATTTTAATGTGAAGCGTATATTTTTATTATATTGTGCTTAGAAGAACTTTCTATATGGAATAAGTTATTAGATTTATACAAGTCTATAGAATGATATGATCGATAAGTTGTCATTTAAGGATAAATATTTACAACTTTAGTGCTATTACGCAACGAAATAATATTTATTGTCTTATATTATAAGTATACGAGTAGAAAAATCTGAAGTATCAATAGTTATATCATTATAGATAACTTTTGATCAAAATATTTGTTATATTAATATAGCATACTGTGACAATGTTAATATTTACTTGTGTGAAGAAATATAGATATAAAATTTTCTCAGTAAAAGAATCTTTTTTTCTCTTCTCACAAAATAGAAGAAAGTTTAACATATGGCGCATAACTGACATATTTTTTTTATGTTTTTAATTGAATATAGTATTGAGTCTGAATAGCAAATTTTATATATGATGAAATTGTAATAATAGTTTCAGTCTTCTATATTCTACATCAGTACGTAAAACTAATAGAAGAAAAGTACATTTTTTCCCAAGTAGGAAAAGAAAAACTTCAGAAGAAAAAATTAATTTATTTGATAGTTGCGTGTCGCACTTTATTTTACTTGCGTTTTACATATATTTTTATATACCCGTCAATACTTAGACGAATATACTTCTACCCTTTTTCTTATCTTTCATCGTATATATTTAGTAATAATAATAATAATAATAATATAGCAAATAGGCTGAGTACACGTTCTAATATAGACTATTGGTTGTAGAAAAAAAAACAATGAACTTCTTTTTTTTTACAATATTTACCTAATGTTATATTTTTGATAGTTTGTTGAAAGAACGAAAAAGAGAAGAGAAATCGGTCAAGCGCAAAGAGTCACTATGTGAAATTGTATGCATCATGTCTACCATGAACAAAATGTGTTCCTTTTATTTTTAAATAGATGCAGACAGACGAAAAGAAACTCAATTCTACTAGTAAGACTCTTACTAATATTAATATTTAATTCATAATTTAAATTTAGTGACTAATTTGGACATAAATGGATGGTCTGTATTATTTAATGCACCTAATAGTATTGCTTGGATTCGTATTATACTTTTATTTATCAGTCTTCGATATTTTGGGTACGAAATAATTTTTTATTTTTAAAATCGAGATTTAATATTTTTAATTATTTAGTAAACAAAGATATGTATTATTTGTTATTTATCATACAATATCTGGTTTTCTCGATTCATTTGATGGTATATTAGCACGTACGTTTCATCAACAATCAATGGTTGGACAATTTTTTGAACTTATATTAGATCAATATGCTCATTTTATAATGTATTCATGTATTGGATATCTCTATTCATCATATATAGTGTATTTTTATTTCGAAATTGCATTAGAATTATGGAGTTCAACTTTTCATTTGTATATAACTTCATTAGCAAAATCTGATCAACCATGGTTACATAAAACGACATTTTTATCAACAACATGTTCATTAACTATTTATAGTCATCCAGAACTTCGTTTATTAAATTGGTATGGACCAGATGTATTTCATACGTTATTAGTTATACGTTTTATTCTCATAAATGATTATGAAAGAAAATTAACTTCAAAATTGCAACGTTATATTTCAATGAAGAAAGTTTATTTAATTATTCAATATGGAATTTATTTTACTGGATTTTTTGCACTTTTACGTACTCTTGTAACTTCTTGTTTTATGTTAAATAATTTTTATAAGATAGCTGGAGCAACATAGAATCTAATTTAACTGTTCATAGAATAGTTTCTAAAATTTAAATTTAGTAAAT